AAGATACAGATACTGCGTCTGAATGGGGACTACCGGTAATTAATGCAATAATTGACTAATTAATATGCATGGATTTGCACCAAAATCTAATCAGCGCATCTACTCATCATATATGTGTGTATATGCTGTGTGCCAAATTTCATTTGAATTGAAATTGTAGATCTTGAGTTATCAGTGGAACAAATTTTAGTCACAGAGTCACAGAGTCACAGAGTAACAGAGTAACAGAGTAACAGAGTAACAGACACCGGTACCACATAAGCTCCATTTCACGGGAGCTAAAAACATTGCCAATACTGGGGGGACCACTAACCTGGATTTCTTTTCCTCAGCATTAAGCTTATTGATATGGTTCCTGAATATCATTTCAGTGTCTTGTTCATTTCTGGTGAGCACATCGTATGGTATTCTGGGATCTTCAGTATGTATAAAGTCACTTTCCTTCCAGTTCTCATCAACACCTAACTTCACAAACCACTTGTCAAAGTTAGGATGATTAAGAATTATCTGATGGCAAGCTTGCCAGGGTCTGTAGGATAGAAAAAATAAATTCATGGATGCAATACACATACTAAATAGGCAACTAAAGTGCAAATAAGATGAGTAACAGAATAGACCGCTAAGTGCCAATTAATCAGTATCAGAATAGACCACTAAGTGCCAATTAATCAGTATCAGAATAGACCACTAAGTGCCAATAAGATCGGTAACAGAATAGACCACTAAAGTTCCAATAAGATCGGTATCAGAATAGATTTTTGATGCGGTATCCACCATTTTTTTCGCCAAGTACACAAGTTGACCTGAAACTGTATTCTTTGACCAGATTGGTCAAACAGATTATTAGCCAATAAGAATGCTTGATGGTGCAAAGGTGTATAATTAGCACAACTCATTTAGATAAGTTAATGAGGTAGGTAGTTACCTCACTGAATGGCAGACACACCACAGAAGAGATTTACTATTGTTGCAGTATTATCTTTTGCCATTGGATAGGAAATGGCATAACTTGCAAAATTACAAATACAAGACAAATTGAGCATTGTGGACCTTTTAACACTTTTTATGGTGATAGCAGCTCATTGTCGAATGTGGTTCATTCACCATAAACATTGTACTCTATAATAGAGCATTACTGACTATTGAAAATTGGACTGGAAATGATGCCTATATTAGAGTATTTACAGTAATATTTATACCAGGGTAGAAGTCTGCGACACAACAGGGTAGGGTGGTCTGTGACACAACAGGGTAGGGGGGTCTGTGACACAACAGGGTAGGGGGGTCTGTGACACAACAGGGTAGGGGGGTCTGTGACACAACAGGGTAGGGGGGTCTGTGACACAACAGGGTAGGA